TACGAATCATAGTGTCCATCTAAAACAATACCTGTTTAGGTGTAAGGCTCCCTCAGTCAAACAAAAATTATTTTAGTTCAGTGATATTTTTTCCTCTTCAGGTTCCTCTCTGGAGTTTCATGAGGGGCGAGTGCGGCTGTCTGGAGGGATGGAGTGTGAGGGGGAGGTGGAGGTGTACTTCAGGCAGGACTGGAGGAGAGTTCTGCTGGACTCCTGGAGTGAGTCTGAGGCCTCTGTGGTCTGCAGACAGCTGGGCTGTGGCTCTGTGTTCAGCTTCTCCAGCTCCTCTCCATCCAGTCCTGATCACAGACACATGTGTGTGATGGGTTTCAGTTGTTCTGGGAGTGAGGCTCATCTGGGGAACTGCAGCAGCGCACAAGCAGTCAACTGCAGCTCCAGAGAACAGCTCTCAATCACCTGTTCTGGTAAAAATTATTGCAGCTAAATATCAAAATGGCTAACAAGCTTCCTAAAATATAAAATATTGTACCAGAATGTATTTTAATCTTTATTGTTCAAAGTCAAAGGATTTTCACAAATTTTCTTCCTTATGCCTAAGGCAAGTGTATTGAGGACCACACAGATATAATGTGTGAATAATTTAACTGCCTTATGTGTGTATGTATGTACTGTGTGTGTGTAGGTAAGTTTAATTCAGCTCAGAGCTCCATCAGGCTGGTTGGTTCTGGGGGAGACTGTGCAGGAAGGCTGGAGGTTTTCCTCACCGGCTCATGGGGGACAGTGTGTGATGACTTGTGGGACATTAAGAATGCACAGGTGGTGTGCAGACAGCTGCAGTGTGGAGTGGCCCTCAGTGCTCCGGTACCAGCCTGGTTTAGACCTGGAACTGGACCCATATGGCTGAATGAGGTGGAGTGTGAGGGGAATGAGACGTCCCTGTAGAACTGCAGATATCAGCTGTGTGGAGAGGATGAATGTGGACACAAGGACGATGTAGGAGTCATGTGCTCAGGTAAAATATGTCAAATGTTCTTTTAATTGAAAATTTGAGCCAACTGTAGCTGAAAGATAGTCCTGCAGCTGATAATCCTTATAAGTTATGCTGTCTCTGAAAATGTTATGCATACAACACATTTCATACCACTGATATGTCTTCCAGGTGACAATAAGCGTTCAAAGAACATTCAAAGTAGACCATGTTAAACTTTTGAAGTATCGTATTTAACATTTAGGTAATTCTAGAAGTAACAATACATAGCACTGTACTTGTTTGAAGTAATGTCATTCTTCGTCCTACAGAGTTTACAGAGATGAGACTCACTGAAGGCTGTGAGGGGAATCTGGAAGTGTTCTACAATGACAGCTGGGGTAATGTGTGTTTAAATGGGATGGATGATGAAACAGCGAGTATGGTTTGTCGAGAACTGAACTGTGGAAGATCTGGCAGTGTGTCCTGGGGTAGAGCAAGAGTGGAATCAGCTCCTAACTGGCTGGATGAAGTCAAATGTAGGAAACATGACTCCACTCTGTGGCATTGTCCATCTTCTCTCTGGCAACAGAACAACTGTGACAATTGCAATGAGGTGGCTCGCATTACTTGCTCAGGTAGGCAGTTCCTTTCTACTTTCTGATTATAGTGCATTTATGCCCTGGAATGAGCAAAAACATTTCAGACAGTGTGATGATGTCAGTTAAACCCGACACCAAGCACTTTTAATACACTTCACCTCAATGTAAATAGTCAAAAACTTGTAAGAATATGTATATATCACAATTGATTATAATATTGTTTAAAAAGTATAATTACCTGTAGTGAGTGTAGGTGAGGTCCTCCCTAGGTAGTTCTCACTATATATAAATATATATATATATATATATATATATATATATATATACACACACATATATATGATGTGCAAATCATTTATAACCTATATTTCAAGAATAATGTTACTCAACATAAAATAGCTAAGAATTTGGATTTCATCTTCTATAGTACATAATATCATTAAAAGGTTTAGACAATCCAGAGAAATCTCTGTATGCAAAGGACATGGACTGACTCGTCAAGATCTTCAGGCCCTCAGGTGGCACTGCATTAAAAACACACATGATTCTGTAGCAGAAATCACTGCCTGGGCTCAGGAACATTTCCAAAAACCACTGTCTGTGAACACAGTTCATCACTGCATCCTTAAATGCAAGTTAAAACTCTACCATACAAAGAATAAATCATATATAAACAGGACCCAGAGATGCCACCACCTTCTCTGGGCTTGAGCTCATTTAAGATGGACTGAGACAAAGTAGAAAAGTGTCCTGTGGTCCGCCAAATCAAAATTTGAAATTCTTTTTGGAAATTATGGACACTGTGTCCTCTGGGCTAAAGACCATCAGGCTTGTTGTCAGCACACAGTTCAACAGCCAGCATCCATTATGGTATGTGAGTGCTTTAGTGCACATGGCATGGGTAACTGGCACATCTGGGCACCATTAATGCTGAAATATATATACAGGTTTTGGCAACATATGTTGCCATTCAGATGACGTCTTCAGGGAAAGTCTTGCTTATTTCAGCAAGACAATGTCAAACCACATTATGCACGTATTACAACAACATGGCTCTAAAGTAAAACAGTCCAGGTGCTAAACTGGCTTTCCTGCAGATCAGGCCTGTCACCCACTGAAAATATATGGCACTTCATGAAATGAGAAATAAAACAAAGGGAACCCGAAATGTTGAGCAACTATATATCATGTAAGTATATATCAAGTTGACCTATATCAAGTAAGAATTGGAAAACATTTCATGTTATAAACTACAGCAGTTGGTCTCCTCACTTTCCTAGGGCTTACAGAGTGTTGTTAAAAGAAAAGGTGAAGAAACACAGTGGTAAACATGCCCTGTCCCAACTTTTTTGGAACATGTTGCTGCCATCAAATTCAAAATGGCCATATATTTTAAAAAAAAACAATAAAACTTTGTAGTGTTTTCAATTAAATGTAGGGTTTAAATGATGCACATCATTGCAATTTGTTTTCATTTACATTTTGCACAGCGTCCCTTTTCCAACTTTTTTGTGAATGTGGTTGTACATGTTTGTGTATATACTACATCAGCAGTGCTAGCACTGAATGAATTAATATACAGGTTGGAATCAATCACTTATTTGCTTTGTATTATGAATCTGTGTTATCACATGGATGTGGAATCTTCCTGACCAGGTGTGGGAGGGGCTACCAGGTTAAGGGGGGGATTCATGGTACTGGGAGAGTCATACACAGTGAGAGAGGAGGCAGAGCTTTTGCCCTGTTAACCTCTGACCTAAAGTCCTTGGATAGCTAGTTCTTTTAATCATTTTGTTTTTGTTACCCTTTTCTTTCTCTCATGGATGTAAATAGTATATGCCAATCATTAATAAAGGAAGAACACTTGTGGGTACTCAGGCCTCTAGTTATCTTTATCTGTGCATGGAGCCTCTGATACACTGGGTCATCCATCTACCCTACCGGTGCTGTCATTCCATTAGTGATAGCGCCGTGTAACAGACTGCCTTTTCTATGAATTTCAGCTCATGATATAATCAGCAATCAGTAATAATCAATCATTTTTGTTGTCATGGCAGACCAAAGCCAGCCACGCACTCTTCAGACATGCTCTTCATCTCTCTACCAGAAGCAGTGCTCAAGTAAGAAGAAAATTCATTTCAGTTACTCAAGAGAGAATAAAATTTTTGCCAGTGTTCTCTAACTTAATTTAAAAAATGACAAGCTTTACATTTTGCCACACTGTTCATGATCATATTGGTTCTGTTGTGAATTATTTAACTGAGATCAATCTGGTTTCCTCAATTGTGTATTATGTTTATACATTACGTAAGTTAGTTATATAAGATAAGACTGGTACTGGTTTATTGTATGTTGTGGTACTGTCATTCTGGGAAATCATTTGAGATTTCAGTATATTACTGTAAATTGTATTGTTTACAATTTTCAGAGTCTCTTTATGTGTAATGTAGATCACCTGCCTCTCAGGCTGAAGGGAGGAAAGGTAAGTTGCTCTGGGAGGCTGGAGGTGTATCATAACGCTGAGTGGGGGTCCATCTGTGATAACCAGTGGGACATCAGAGATGCTCAGGTTGTATGCAGGCAGTTGGGCTGTGGGTCGGCGCTGAGTGCTGATGGGAGTGCTGTCTTTGGTGCTGGTGAAGGGCCCATCTGGCTGAACAGAGTGAAATGTAGAGGGAATGAGATTCACCTGTGAGACTGTCCTCATTCCCTGAAGAACCACACTGACTGCTCCCACAGGCAGGGCGCTGGAGTCACCTGTGCAGGTCAGAGGAGCTGCTGCATTTTGGAGTTTCTGAATCCAATCAGATCATCTTTATTCCAGATTTAACAATCTGCAAGTCTTCAGTGAAAAGTGGATTGATGTACTTTTGTTCATATTTTCTAATGCTACTTTGTCATATACAGTGTTTAAATTGTAAAAATTCAGAATCAGAATTGCCAGTTAACACCAATTTCACTTAAATCAGTATTATGTTGGATTTTGTGCTTTATTTGTTTATTTTTAATGTTTTGTTTCTATAGGTATAGACATGTCTGTGCCTTCTACTACTGTAGTCATATTTACAACCACCACCCCCACCACCACAGGTACTATTCATGTCTTAGGTCATTTTTCTAAATGATTATAAGGAGAGTATTCAGTGTTCTGTACAATTTTTACTCTGTATTTTTATTTGCAGTTGGTCAGCCAGCAAAGAGCACAACCACTCCATCACCAGCTGTTCTAGCAGCTATTCTGTCCATCTATCCAGTGTCTCTCCTTCTTCTGGGAGCGGTGCTCTTCCTGGCCTTAGTGCTTCTGGTTGTGCTGTTTTACCAGAACAGAGTGCTCAGGAGAGGTAGAGAGATTCAGAGATCATCTTCAATCCACTTTCTGTACATTCTCTAAACATCATTAGTCCTTCAGTCTGTCATCAGTCTTCTCTTTTACTGAACTGGCTCCATGTTTTTCTCTGTCTCTCTCACAGTGCTCTCTAAGAGGAGGCGTAAGACTCTGACTGAGGCAGTCTATGAGGAGATCGACCGCAGATACAACACTAAAAGAAATTACTCAACTCAAAGAGGTGAGTGATATATGGAGTGTTCTGCATGAGGATAGCCATACCGGCTCACTCTTAGTGATTAAAGCAATATTTAATTGTCTTAAATGTATTTTGATTCAACAGTTTAACATAAATATCCTGTTCAGAATCATCAATCATTTCTTCTGGATAGTTTTCTCCGTGCATTAATAATAAGAGTAAATCGGTTAAATAAGAATTTAGTGTATATTAGATGAAATGTGCAGTTAGAGTAGATCTACATGTAGTGTAATGTGTTAATTCTGCTGATAAGCATCTATTAGGCAGCTGAAGTTAAACTGTGTAATTCCTGTAAAACTTCCATTTTTTGGACATGCAGAGTGAGAGAAAATATTCTCAATATATGTTTTTTTTCCCTTATGTTATTTTCTTAAGGTCTAAACCATTTTCACTGTAGAGAGCAAATGGCAGAAGTAGTGATAACTGTCACACTCTCACCTTGCCCCCTCCCTCCTTTGTTTGTATTTAAATGACCCTTCGTCTCATGACCTTAAGGTGATACTATCACCCCCCCCCCCCTTATCTCTGCCCCCTACATCTCTATTCATACCCCCCGTCTACAACCCCTCCTTACCCCTCCTCAAAGTCCTTTTGTTCCCCCTTCCCCCTCTTTAGTTTTTCAAAGTATATAAGGTCCTTTCAAAATATTCTTGTTAGACTGGACTGCAGACTAGACTGGACTGGTGACCAGACCAGACTGGTGACACACTGATGACCAAGTTGTGCCCGTGCATGATTGTCTGCACGTGAATAAACTCCTGGTCCTGCTGATTGACTGCTGATCGACCACGCTGTACCCATATTCTGTATGTGGAAATAAACTCCAGTCAACGCTGAAGCTCTAGTCTCCTGACTCTTGGTGCCGAATTTCTAACAACTTGGTGCCGTGACCCGGATGGCTTACTGAAACCTACTTGGTGAGTAAAACGCCATTTTCGAACTGAAGAGAAATTCTGGCTTTATAAGATAGATGAGTCAGTAAAGGTTAGCCTCTCCGAAACAAGAGAAGTTTACTTGTTGTCACTGATAAAGAAACCTAGTGTTTTTTGTGTCTGTTATCCCCTCTGCTCTGAGGGAAGTTTACTTCTTGTCACTGATAAAGAAACCTAGTGTTTTTTGTGGCTGTTATCCCCTCTGCTCTGAGGGAAGTTTACTTGTTGTTACTGGTAAAAATAACCCTAGTGTTTTTTTGTGGCTGTTATCCCCTCTGTTCTGAGGGAAGTTTACTTTTTGTCACTGGTAAAAGCCTAGTGTTTTTTTTTTCTTTTTGTGTCTGTTTTTTGTCACTGAAACTTGTAACGTATCCACTCAGCTAGTGAGGGAAGATTGGTTGTGTTTTTGCCTCAGCTTTTTTATCTTGTTACCTCACCATGACTAGTACAGGCCAAAAATTACAGAAACCTCTTAACTTCAGAAAGAGTACACTAGTTAAGGGAGGAACTGAAATGCCTGAATGGACTGAATTTGCATTTGAAAAGGTAATGGATGACATAATAGGGAAACACATTCATGAGCAAAAGACAGCTCAGTACTTTTTATCCAAAGGTTTTTCTGCTGATAGAGAATGGACTCTTGAGGAATGTAAAACAGCTTTGGGTTATGGTATCAAGCATGATTCCATTAAGGAATGTCTTTTTGTAATAAAGCAGTACTGGAAGTATAAGCTTAGATACATGGAGGGTAAGCTAGAGGAAGCTGAGGGAAAGATCCTAGAGCTAACCAGCGAATGTAAAAAGCATAAAATAGCTGCCATGAATGCCCAGAGAACATGTAAAAAGCCTAAGCAATCACTGACCAAGGTTGAACAGCAACAGGCCAATTGTAAATCCAAGTCAAACTGTCAATTCCAATCTCTACCTGTAGGCCCTCCTCTGGGTCAGCCATGCTACACAGAGGATGAAGATCCTCCACTGTTGGCTAGGCTGTATCCAGAATTGGATGCGATCCACTCTGATGAATCAGAAACCTCCTCCTCTGATGAGGATTCTGAACCTACTAGTGATAAGGCAGTTCAGATGAGACCAATCACTATTAGATATTCTGAGGTCCATAATAAGAGAGGTGACATTAGGGGAACCAGAGTAGAAGTTGGTCATGTTCCTTTAGATGCAGCCACCTTGGACAAGCTGTCCAAGGAATTTAAACCTCCTAGGGAAATGGGGCTTGACTTCATAGATCTCATGCAAAAGAAAAGGAACCTCTACTTATTGCACCCCAATGATGCTGTTGCCATAGCAAGCCAACTACTTAACATAACAGATAGTAGACAGCTTGCTAATAAGGTATTGGATGCGTTGGGTGACAAAGGCCGGGACATTGACATTGAAAGGGGTTGGAAAGCTTTCAATGACTGGATCAGCTGTAAATGTCGCAAAACTACTGATTGGGGGCAAATAAGCAAATGCAGACAGAAAAAAGGAGAGTCAGCTACAGATTTCTGTGAGCGTTTTGAAAGAGTCTTCCTGCGTCACTCTGGTATTGATAAATACAGTAGTGACAACATTGATTCTACAACTGATGGTCCTCATTTTAGACAACTTGTTGAGTCACTAAGACTAGATCTTAGACAAGCCCTAGTGACAGCTCTTCCAAATTGGTGTAAAGTTAAATGGGGTGACCTTAAAATTGAACTTGACAGATTGGATCTGGATCTAGAGCCAGGCCATGTGCCAGCATCTATGCATGTCCTCACAGATAGTAGCTCTAACCCAAGTTCCAGGCAGAATTTTACTTCCAACAAGAAGGACAAGTTATCTGAATGTCACTACTGCCATAAGTTTGGTCATCAGGCCAGACACTGTCGTAAAAAGCAGACAGGAATACACAAAAAAGGTGCGAGGGTAAACGGGACCCCAGCAAGAAATCCCTTTGAGGGAATTTCACAGGGAGACCCAGCAGGAAACCTTTTTCAGGGAATTTCAAAGGAGCAGTTATCTTTGATAATCAGAACCATGCAGGGAGTCACAAAGCAGTTGTCTTTGGTAATGAAGGCGATAGAAGGATTCATAGTTTCGTCTGCTCCTGCTTTTAACTAATTATTCTGATGCTTAAGCTTGTCAGGGTATTGATCTTTCTGTTGTTATTTAAACCAGATGTAAAAGCACTTTTTGATTTTTTTTTTCTTTTTGTTTGTTTTTGTTTGTAACAGTAATTTTGTTACAGTAATTAGGGTAATTGACTACTAAGTGGTTCAATTTTGCCTGATAGAAGCCCTCACATTAATGCGGTTTTGTTGCCCACAACTTTGGGCCTTGTTTTTCTAGGTCTAAGTAACTACAGTAGGCCTTGAATCAATCCTTATGCTACCATTTTAAAAACCACTATACGATCTGCTGGTAACTCAGCTACAGTCCAGACTGGGAACTGGACATGGCTGAATTCAGATGCAAAAGTTGCTCCAGATGGTGTTTGGACCAAAGGGGGAAAACTTGCATTTGAAGCATTGCTTTTTTTGCCTCATGACACAACCACATCCTTTGGGTCAGGAGTATAAAAATGTTAATTAGTTTTTCACGGTGGAATTTTAGTTTTGAAGATGTAAGTAAAAGCAGTTTTTTTTTTTCAAACAGTGCTACTAACTAAGTGCTGAAAGTATCTGTATGACAGTTTCAGGCCACTGAATCATGGTGAGGAAACATGGCAAGCAGTCTTTAGAATCTAGATGAGAAGCTCCATATTAAGGTTCTGCTGATAACTAATGCAAGCATTAAATGTGAAGAAAACACAAATACATGTTTTGCACTGAAAGGTTGTATCTGCACCCCAGAATTGAATACAGGGACAGCTGAAGAGGGGGTGGGTGAAGCACAGAGCCTTAGGAAAGAACTATGGTTTTTAGGCCATTGGGGGCCGCTCCTGTAGGTGAAGATTTCAACACACTGTGTGGAACCATACCAGCCCCCTCTGAGGGACACATAGTGGGCATAGCAGATAACCTAATTGTGAATGAATAACTTCCCAACATTGATGAACAGTTTACTGCGCAAATATTTCTTTTTGTGTTACAGATAAACTGGAGCCTGCATGGCACGAACGTCTTGACACTGGACACCTAAGCTATGAAGAACTGAGTGCATGCTGTTGAAAGTGGACTTCCAGGATGATCTGCCCAAGCAACAGCTGTCGTAGAATTCAACTTGAAATGACACATCACCATGTTGAAGCAAACTCAAGTTCAAGTTTCAAGATCCTACATCTCTAATATTCTTCAAGAATACTTCCACTGCAAAGTTGCAGAACTAAACAGCTCTAACCATTGGCTGCATTAACACTTTGGACATTTCTTGGCATAATGTTATGGAGATAGGCATAATCCTATTCTGTACAGTTATTGCCACTTTAATTGTTTGTTTCTGTCTTTGACTTCTCACTGTGCATATGTTTCGTACTTGTAGTCATAATACAGTTTTGTGATTCTCCATTAGGGAGAATCAAAGGGAGAATTGAGAGAAAATATTCTCAATATATGTTTTTTTCCCTTATGTTATTTTCTTAAGGTCTAAACCGTTTTCACTGTAGAGAGCAAATGGCAGAAGTAGTGATAACTGTCACACTCTCACCTTGCCCCCTCCCTCCTTTGTTTGTATTTAAATGACCCTTCGTCTCATGACCTTAAGGTGATACTATCACCCCCCCCCCCTTATCTCTGCCCCCTACATCTCTATTCATACCCCCCGTCTACAACCCTTCCTTACCCCTCTTCAAAGTCCTTTTGTTCCCCCTTCCCCCTCTTTAGTTTTTCAAAGTATATAAGGTCCTTTCAAAATATTCTTGTTAGACTGGACTGCAGACTAGACTGGACTGGTGACCAGACCAGACTGGTGACACACTGATGACCAAGTTGTGCCCGTGCATGATTGTCTGCACGTGAATAAGACTAGACTCCTGGTCCTGCTGATTGACTGCTGATCGACCACGCTGGACCCAAACTCTGTATGTGGAAATAAACTCCAGTCAACGCTGAAGCTCTAGTCTCCTTACTCTTGGTGCCAAATTTCTAACAAGAGAAACCACACAGCTACAGGTGTGTGTGTGTGGGTGTGTGTGTGTGTGTGTGTGTGTGTGTGTGTGATAGAGAGAGAGAGAGAGACAGAGAGAGAGAGGGGGTGAGTGAGAGGAAGGGAGGGTGAAAGAGATAGAAGGGGGGAGGAAGAGGAAACGGGAGTGGAGGAGGTAACATTTGTGTTTTTTGCATGTGTGCGTGTGTGCGTGTGTGTGTGTTTGTGTGCGTGTGTGCGTATGCGTGTGTGTGTGTGTTTTGTTGGGACTGAAGGAGTCATTGAGCAAGGAAGCCAGTCAATTAGTGAGTGATTGAATGCGTGAGAGACTTTGTATCTGAGTGATTGATCAATTGAGACAGTGATGAAGTAAGAAAGTGACAAAGTGAGTTAGAGATTGAGTGACCGAGTGACTCACCAAGTAAGTAAGTAAAAGGGTGACTGAAGTGAGGGGGTAAGGCCACATGTTAGTGATCGTGGTGGAGAGCCTGAGTGAGTAACTTAGTAAGCGATCTAGTACGTGATCAAGAGACTGAGTGTCCTATGGAGTGACTGAGTGAGTTTTTGACTATGTGAGTGACTGGGTGACCTATTGAATGACAGATTGAGTGACCGAGTCATTGTATGAATGAGTTAGTGGCTGATTGAGTGAAAAAGTTAGGGACTGAGTGTCAGAATAACTGAATAAGTGACCAAGTGAAAGAATGAGTTAGTGAACAAGTGACCGAGTTAGTGACTGAGTATATATATGAGTGAATGAGTCACTAATTGAGGAAATGATGAAGTAAGAAAGTAACCGAGTGAGAGAGATTGAGACTGAACAAGTGAATGAACAAGTGGGTAAGATACAGAGTGACTGAGTGAGGGACCATGAGGGATTGAGTGAATCAGTGACAGAGTGTCAGAGTGACTGAGTGAGTAACTGAAAATGATGAAGTGAACTAGTGAGTGAGTAATTAACCCAGTGAGTAACCGAAAGTAAGTGACTAAATTAGTGATTAAGTTCCCGATTGAGTTAGTGACCAAGTGAGTAAGTGATTAAGTGAATGACCAAGAGTCCAAATGAATGAACAAGTGAGGGAATGAATGTGTGAATAAACAAGTAAGTGATTGAGTGATCAGTTGACTAAGTAAGAGAGCGAATTAATGACTGAGTGAATGAATGAATGACTGTGTAACCTATTGAGTGACCGATTAAGTGACAAACTGAGTGATCAAGTCACTAAATAAATGAGTGAGAGGGAATTAATGACTGAGTGGTCATTTGACAGAGGGGAGTGCTGATGTATATAGTTTATTAAACTCGTTGTTAGACTAATAGTTTTCCAAAATACATGGTGTAGGGTGGAAAAATTACAAAGCAAAATATGTGTACTGTGTCAAAATCTTACTCAATTAAAAGTTGGAAGCCAATTGTTCACAATGATCCACAGCACTCAGAGGATTGTGGGTGGTTCTGCATTCTGAACGCGTTTGATGTTCTGTTCTGCTCTCCTCTAACAGGAAGTATCCTCTCTGAAGAACAGCATTCAGGATATGAGGATGTGGATGAGGAGCTTCTCTCAGGTAAGAGGACCAGAACATGTGTATGTTAAACTCTATTCAACTGAGGAATATTACAATCACCATTTTGAAATTGAAATTCATTATAATGTTTCTTAATCCAAGTTTCTTGTAGTCTTTACCACTTTAATTTCTTGTCCTGACTTTTTAAGGTTAATTCCTTTTTGTTTGATTGTTAACAGCATTAATACTGCTTTGTGACTGGTCACACTTCTGACTACTGAGATCTGACTTATTTTAGACCAGAAATGCAAAGCGGAGAGGAATGACAGAGAATAATAAAGTTTTATGCTGATGGGTGCTGGATATACTAAGACGTTCTTTGGCAGTTCTTTAGGTCACTCAGTACTTAAGTAGCATTTTTAACATGGTGCATTTTAGCTCTTGCTTTTGTGGAAAGATACTTTTACTTATTGATTTTGGACCAGACAGTCCAGTTTTGACCTTGGTACTGTTGACCAATCGAGTCTTACTCTAAATGCATTCCATTTGTTGAAGTAGATAAAGCCTCAATAACACCATCCTCCTCCCTCCATCCCCATCCTGTCCGGATTTCTGGCAGCCCTACTACCTACAGTGCTGTGAAAAAGTGTTTGCACTGACACGATTTCTTCTATTTTTGCTGATGTGTCACGTTTAAATGTTTCAGATCCACTAATACTAATGTGAGATAACACAAGTAAACACAAAATGCAGCTTTTAAATGATTATTCCATTTATTTGATAAAGATTTTTTTCAAAACCTATTTCACCCATGTGAAAAAGTAATTGCCCCCTAAACCTAATAACTAAATGTGCCACTCCTGGCAGTGAAAACTGCAATCAAACGTTTGCAGTAACCAATTTTGGCCCTTTCTTCTTTACAGAATTGTTTTAATTCAGCTACATTGGAGGGTTTCTGAGCATGATCTGCCTGTTTAAGGTCTCGCCACAGCATCTCAATGGGATTCAAGTCAGGACTTTGACTCGGCCACTGCAAAACCTTAATTTTATTTCTTTGGAGCCATTCTAAGGTGGACTTGCTTGTGTACTTCAGATCATTGTACTGCTGCTTAACTTAACTATGCTTGAGCTTTAGGTCACAAACTGACGGGTAGACGTTCTCCTTCAGGATTTTCTGATAGAGAGCAGAATTCATGGTTCCATCAGTTAGTAATTCATTAAAGTCATTCAGGTCCTGCAGAAGTGAAGTGGCCCCAAACCATCACGCCACCACCATGTTTGATCGTTGGTATGATGTTCTTATGGTGGAGTACGGTATTAGCTTTACACCAGATGTAATGGGATCCATGTCTTCCAAAAACACTCCCGGGAAGGTTCACATTTATGGATAATGGCTCTCACTTTGGTTTACTGGAGCCCCAGAGCCTTAGCAATGGCTTTGTAACCCTTCCCTGACTGGTAAATTTCAATGACTTTGTTTTTTCAATGATATCTTTATTTGAATCTCTTTAGAATGTGGCATCATGTGCTGCTTTTTGAGATCTTTTAGCCTGCTTCACATTGCCAGACCGGTCCTATTTAAGTGATGTTTAGATTCAACAGGTCTGGCAGTAATCATGCTTGGGTGTGACTAGTGAAGATGGACCCAGTAGTCATTTTAATTTGCTGGGCTGAACATAATTTTTCCTTCAATAAATTAAATCATCATTTAAAAACAGCATTGTGTGTTTACTTGTGTTCTATTTGTCTAATATTAAAAGAAGTTTGATGATCTGAAACATTCAAGTGTGACAAATCTGCAAAAATAGAAGACATTGGGAAGGGGGCAAATACATTTTCACAGCACTGTAAGTCATTATTACATCAAATTGACAATACTTTTTCTTCAGCATGTGTTTAGATTATTTCACCCACCTCTGAACGGCACATACAGTTAGTCTCTATCCAGGTTGTGCTTTATACGATTTTCTTGCAACATTTACTCTCTTTGCTATTTCAGAGTGAAATTCTCTTCAACAGTGAGTTTAGTTTGTTTCTCTGATTAAAGATTTTATTCATGTTTAGATCAGAAGTAGATCATTGTTACATTAAAGGGGCTTATTAACTTTTTTCTTAATGTGTTCATGCTTTGACTATGAACTCCTGTATGATTGTTTATAGTTAATAGTCAATGTTGCAGTATGAATATGTTAGAAAGACAAAGATTGCAGGTTAGGGTAGTCGAGACATGCAAGTTTGTGGTTATATATTAAAGATCACTGCTGAATGAAACACTACCAACAGTATTGGTCATTTCATTTCAACTGAGAGATTTTTGCCCTTCTTTGTTGGGTTAGATGGGACAAAGTTGGCCAGATTTTTTGTCTAAGTGACTAAATATCTGAGTGTAAGTAAATTGTGCAAAGTTTGTTGACTAGTTTAACTAAAGCTTACGTTGTTTGAATGATTTGTGTCTGTCACAGCCACTGAGACACCGAGCCACAGCACCGAACTTTAGAAAGCTGATGACTGGCTAAATTCCTACTAACACTCATAACCCCAGTTCCCCTTTTTTACTCTCAGTTGAATATAACTTTATTTTCATAATCTGATATCTCACACAAATCCAAAGTCTGACCTCTGCCAGAAAATAAAACATTAAAAACACAATAAAATCCTGCTGCTCCATGGCTGTTTACATTGATATCAAGCGCAACCACTGTGTAGTGTGACACCCACACAGTCCTGATCAGACAGAGAAACTTGTAACACTGTTTGAAATATTGTTAAAGACTTTTTTTCTAATCTAGTGTTTGTCAGTGATCATCACACAGCATGATAGAGATAATTGGTATCAAGTTCCCAGCCTCTCCGTAGACTTAACTTATCTAAGAGTAATCAAATTAGCTTTTACCAGAAAAGTCTCTGACTGGAATAAAGGCAGAATATTACGATGATGTCACCACCTGATGAGTGAGTTCCTAAATTAATCACCTGATTTTATCTTTAAACATTAAACCACAATGTATAAATATGACTGCACTGTTTGTAAAGCCAGTCTGCTTTTATTTGGTTTAGGTGAATCAGCAAAAGAGGACACAGCAGAGAACTCTGATGATGTCATCACTGCTGGACAGAACTCTGAGAGTGGAGCAGGTGTGTTTCTGTTATCATTAAGTAGAGATGTTAATTCTATGTGATTAAATAATCAAATAGATGTTATTGTGTTCTTTCTCTCTCTGTTCAGATGTTATTGTACTCTGTTTCATACATGCTATCAGAAATATGTCTGCTGTTCTTTATGATGTGTTAAAACATCATGATGGATGAAGCAATAGAAATGCTCCAAAATTACTCAGAAAAATATATATATATTTAAAGTCATGAATGTTTTTCCTTCTCATTTAAAGTTGCCATTTTGAAGATACAAGGTTTTGTCACAAAAATGTTAATATGCTTATTATGCCTGTAGAGTCTGAACCAAAGTTAATTTACTTTTATTTATTAAATGACATTTTTCTAAATGTTCAGTTCAGGTTTTAAATGAAAACTAACTGTCAGTACTTGATAGTGTTAAGCGCTAATATTAGCAACATAGGCTTATGATTATATTAGACTTATTGCATTGTTCTGTAATTATGTCTAAATATCTGATAAGCACTGTGTAAAATATGATTTTATTTTCTTTAAATGTCTCTGTGTTTTGGTGTAGAAGACGTAGCAGAGAATTATGATGATGTCATCACTGCTGATCAGAGCTCAGCTGTTGTAACAGGTTTGACTTGTAATGTAACAACACTGTAATCTCAAACATGAACAGTCACTGATGATACTGAAGCTGATTTAATGACATTTATCTCTACATTTTGACGGAAGACATGACAGATAACTATGATGATGCTGTTACTGCTGGACCAAACTCCAACATTATGACAGGTAAGTTTTACTTGTAGACAAATTATTTAAAACTGAAGCTTCAACACTGTTTAACACATCTCAGATTGTTTGTTGTTATAACTTATCTTCTGATGTTTGAGTAGTGGACACACCAGAGAGCTATGATGATGTCATCACAGCTGAACAGGATGTTGGAGGGGTAAAAGGTGAGTGGCTGATCTTGTGTCGATGTACATGAATGAGAAGGGTGGAGTGCGAGATTTAAATCAAGTGTACAGGAAGTCTGCTGAAAACGTGTTTACATTATCTATGGTATATGATCATTAGTGCAGCACTGACATTTTGCTGAATGTGAAAATTAAATTCTCTCTAAATCTATCTGAGTTCTAAATATGCTGAGTCTGGTATCAGAGATCATAAAGATATAGATTATATCTTCCATTCAGGAGAATCTCTTTAGGGTAAAACTCATTCAGTATTCACTGTGATTACTGTGGCCTCTTACACACAGTGAACATTTTAAAATAGAGTTGGTTAGATAGATAAATACTCGAAACATATATTATAATACTCTTCTGATGAATTCCTTTTTGTTCATATGGCTTTTTGTTCCTATGGTCCCAAAGTATAACCACTGATTCACTTTCTAATGTACAATACCTGATGAATTTTCCAAAATTTCTTCTCTGTCTATATAACTTTGTTGGTCTTAATCTTATATTTACTTTGTAATTCTCAGTGATCCACACTCCTTCAGTATGTAAGGTTAATTCAAACAGCCCAATCATTTCAAATAGCTTCAGTTGAGCTGTCAGTACTCCACTGTACTCTACTTTGAAATATAAGGGGTCATTAACCAAAAATAACAAAACTGCTAAGAATGCTGGGAAGCTTTTTCGACAAAAGACTCTTTAGTCTATTGAACTTATCCAAATAAATTGATCCTAACTGGCCTTATTTAAGTAACTAAGGCATTGTACAAAAAATAATGATAGTTACTAGATTTGCATTAGTGACTGTAACAAATGAGTAAAATAAAATAAATAAAAAAGGCAGTGCAGTTGTTTTAGGACTTTAAAATTAATGTAATCAGAAAACGATGCACTTTGCTTCCGTATAATTATGCAATTTTGAGTGAAACACAGTATTTCAGAAGGTGTCTAAACTAGCTCAGTTTAGAGGTGAAACATGCTCAGAGGGGAGGTGAAACATGATAATATTAGTCAATTTTTTTTTATTTTAGTTTTCCTCACTGGTAACGTGTTATTTGAGATAAATGTACTAATTTTCCAGATTATGATGACATGGAGGAGGAGCTTCAGACAGAGATGAATCATGTGACCGAGAGTCCATAGCAAGTGTCTTTCCTCAGGAAACTGTATTCAAACCTCTTCAAACACAGGAAATGACTTTTTTATAGATCACAAATCAAAATGTTTTATGGAGCATAAATGGGATAAAGTGGTTTAAACAGCCCATAATTTATATAAACAAATTACAATTTACACATTTTTAACACTTACTTTGGTTTTTCGATCTTAGAAACATTTACATCACATCTCATCTTAGTAAGTTATTCCATCAAAATAATTATGATCTTATTTTGATCACTTTATCCAGATTTTTATCTTCATGAAAACAGTTTGTATCTGGGGTGATAAAGCTAGATCATGTATGAGGGTAAAGAACTGAAAGATCTCTGGTCAGAAGTGAATGTTCAGTGATCATCAGTCAGAAACAGTAAAGTGCTGTTTCACTGTAATTAATTTGTATGACAGTTTTCTTTTTTAAGTGTTGGCATTCAAAATCAAGCAGCCCCTTATAACTGTTTATAGAGCCATTATAACATATAGATTACTCACCTAATATTATGCTACACTGTACAAAATGGTAACAAGCAAATTAACTGGGTTCAACTAAAATAAATGCTGTGAATAAAACAATGCAAGGCAAACAATTATCTAACAATCAAATACTATATTTATAAAATTACTTATTTTCATTCTTATAAAATAATATTTTGAATGAAACAAATTTTCTTTTGTATTATTTGCAAGCTTATAATGATTGTGTGATTATTATGCTGATCATCTGAGATTATTTCCCCACAGGAATAATAATGACTGATGTTAAATTCTGTATCTTGAGTTTCTTATGATTTACATGTGGACTGTGTGGAACCTATTACTGTGATCTGAGATAATTCTGTGCTCTTTTGTATGTGCTCATACACAGAGAGTTTAAAGAAGAGATTTTCTGAGGTTTTAAAGTTTTAATACACGTTGCCTTCATTTTCTGTCATGTTTTGCTTTTTCTTTCTTTTCTGTTTTAATCATAAAATTCTTCTTTGAATAAATCAGATAAATCAGCAATCACTATTGGGAACTGTGGATTTTTATTACAACATAATTTCTACATCACGTTTTAAAGGAGCCATAAGTGATGACCACAAAAACAAAATGCTATGTATAAAAGTGATTTGTCCACTTATTTATTTATTTGTTTATTTTTTCCATAACATAAACACATCTGAGACTAAGACTCAAATTGCTTTGTAAGCTTGTATGAACTATTTTATCATAAGGGGGCGGGTTCACACATATGGACGATGCCATGTTTAGATCATGTGACAGCACGTGTGCAAACTTGCTGTAGAAGAAAAAGATCTAACAGGTGTGTTGTTTGTTGCTGAATATTGAATGAAAAATTATTGTCATTGGCATAAAAGCAGTAAATGGCGTTGGGCTGTTTAAAAAATGAATGAAGACCAGTGTAGATAAAGAACCAGGGTGAACATTGGTGTTGTGTTTTCCAGCTGAAAAGCCATCTTAAAAGACAGAGTTAAGAGAACATCTTTGTTCTCAGCTCAATCACAGATGCGTAGCTGCAGACTGCATGCTGTGTGACTCTGTGTATCATGTGATACATGATGTATTTCACAAAAATGTTTTCAGCTGGACAGGTAATTTCATTATTTAAACATAGTTCTGTTCTCCTTTATATCTTTTATGGATCCAATACTTTATTTGTGAACAGGCATTGTGGGCACAACCAAAGTGGTAGACTGTTTTCAATTATTTAAAAAATATAAACATGCATTGAAGTACAGTGGTATTTACAGTGGCACTGAACTGTAGGAGCTCAGCACTGCTGGTGTAGCTGATGTCTCTGCTGCTGCTGAGGAAGCTGGATCTGCTGCTGTCATCACTGCTACACACCACTCTGCTGTCTCTGCTCCCATCATCACTGGCTTCACTGTTCCCACTGTCATTAATGACCCCCATAGTAGCCTGTTCACTCCGGCTCTCACAGTGTCTGCAGTGTGCTGAGTCTATCAAGGCTGTAATGTCATAATTTAATGTAAATAAGCAATAATTCTAACCATTAATGCTCCATGTATTGCTTTATGCTCCAGCACTGACCAATCTGAGCATAAAGCCTCAAAAGTCTAATTTGAAAATCTGACCTGGTTAAAGTTGCTTTTACGCCAAACACACAAACATTCATAACAATGTTAAGTTCAATGTTTGAAAGAACATCCTTTGTGGCTGCAGATCATTTTTCCTTTTTCAGGTAAGTCTTAATTAGAGGTGCACATCCAACTGGATTTACATTCTAGAAGTTACTATTCCAACACCTGTCAATCACTGAATTTTTCATTCCAAGCTGTCTGAACGTAACATCAGAGGAGCACCTGAGATCATGTCACAGTGCAGCATATCTAAACAACTTGTACAGTGTGAGGTACTTAAGTCATATTCTCAAACCTCAAAACTAGAGCTCAGCCTAGCACCTATAGAAGCTTTACTGACTGAGCAGCTCAGGAGACAATAACGTGTATGAAACCTGGACATACATTTTTCATAAAAAATTCCATTTATAGCTGTAAGACTGAAATAAATTAAACACTTTAATATTTGTTTCAGGTCCATTTAAAATATTTTCATGACTGTGACTATAAACTTGTTATGTTCATGAAAAGTATGGATTTATCCACAAAAGACACATCTGTTCAAAAACAGTGTAATGTTTTAACACAAATGTGGATTTGCTTACTCTCTGCATATAATTGTGTTCTCTCCAAAAAAACACATGGTCCAGACTGACTCTCACTGGATGTTAAGAGAATTTTATGCTGATCTGGAAGGTCAGATTGAGTTGTAATGAGTTATAATGAGATAAAATGTGTAGATCAGATGTGTAAATATGAAACTCCTACTGGGTGCTAGAAGCCCTCAAATCAGCAGCAACCACTTTAATTTGGCAGCACAGAGCTCCAGGACCCTGGACAGCATCCAGAACAGAGCCTATGAGGAGCTGGATAAACTGATCAGATACCCACACACACACCTAACCAGCACTACCATACATACCCTCACACACACCTAACAAGCACTACCAAACATACCCTCACGCACCCCTAACCAGCTCTACCTCACACACCCTACACACATATCTAATCAGCTCTGGCACACACAAACATACACACACACTTAAGCAGCTCTATCACATGCACCCTCACACATCCCTAAGGAGATCAAACACGCTTATGCACACACACAAACCAGTGCTAACACACACACCCTCAGTCCTTAAATCTCCTTGTTAAAGATGCCTTAACATCGCCTGTCGGACCCTCATAACATGAACACAAACAGGTCACACTTAGGTGGCTGGAGGATGAGCCATTTCAGCAGGTGCTTGAATTCATGCTTGGCTTGTGTGTACAGGTGCTACTCAGCTACTCATAAGGTGACTTTGTAGACAACCTCAGTTTACTCTGGAAAAGCAGAAGTCTATTTAGACTGGAGAAGCTTCACTTCAATACAAGATTGTGAATGTGTGCAGCAAATCTCTCACCCTCCATTAGCTTTTACCAGCACAGAAATGGACGGAGCAGACACAGGAGACATGAAAAGGACAGAAACAGGAGACTGAGTGGCCAACTAGACTGGAGACTCACAGTCATGCCTCTTGCACTTGCTTTTCATTTCAAATGTAATAAACCTAGAAAAGGTGAAAATCTTAAAAGTAGCACAGAGCTCAAAGGGACAAAGTGGGATAAAAACAGTGTGTTCTTGTGGTGTATTTGGGTTTGAAGGCTGTCACCTAATCCAGAGCTTTGCTATGAACAGAGAGACTAAAATCAAGCTAATGTCATCTTCTTTTTTCTTTATTTTTTCCATAAAGCTCACACTGATGTTTTCACTTCAGTTGGCTGGCAGCCTAGTAGCTCACTTGCTTTCCTTACCATTCAGGCACATGTAAACTGTCTTTTTAAAGATTGTATGTGGAGACAGCATGAATAGACAGTTCACATGACAATGTGTGTTTAGTTGACACTCTTTACTGAAGGTTTTCTTACTTCAGCACTTGACCAACCCTAAATTAATTAGCTGAGTGTCTGTGATTAGCCTCTACTACTACTGCTCAACACACACCAGCATAAGAACAGGCAGCTTGTTTCTGATTGGCTAATACAATCACTCTTCCTTCTGCTTCTTATTATTACACAAAACAACTGCTTTTTGTTTAAGATAACTTTGATCTTTGATTTGTAGGGCATATAGTTTTTTACAAACAATAGTAAAAATGCATGTCTAGATATGTAAACTGTACAGTGTCAACATGTATTTCTGTGGAAATGTGTATTTCTGTGTCCCTCTATTGCAGTGGTTATAATTAGATCTCTAACTAACCAGCTTAGAAAAAAGGGACAAAACAGTGAGACACATCTACTTTTCCTGAGCTTATACTGGATTATGATTATTATTAAACACTCAATTAACATTGATGAAAATACCATTGCATGTATAAATGTAACTTCTATCAGCTTCACTAACTTCATCAAATGTTGATGACAGAGTACACATTATTGACTGTCAACAACAGACTTTACATATGGGCCTCCTTTCACTGAACCTCTGATTAAAAGCAGACATGATTCAATGACTACACAAAGTGAAGGTGGAGGTGGAGACACTGGCTCTGTTTGCACTGTGATTCCTCAGAGTGCATTTAAAGAAATAATGAATTCTTAAAGACTGTGGACTGCAACTGATTTCCAGATCATGGGCTGGAGAACATTCATTTAAAAAGAAATACACTGAAGCTTTTCATGACAACTGATCAACTGAAGGAGGCTGATGAGCAGAGTGTTTTCAGACTTGTGTGTGTTCTGTATAGCAAATGCATTTAATTATTCTATATCAGACACACTCTTTATATGTGCATGTGTTTTGTGGGAGGTGTGAGGGGTGGTGTAATTAAATGTTGATGTTGACTGAGAAAAGATTTGGTAACACTTATAATAACTTTCATTAACATACCATTAACTAATGATTAATAGCTGTGA